AGACATTTGTTCTCCCACAGTTTCCATTGGTCTAGAATTTGATAGCAGCTTAGCTGGGTAGTTCTGGCCCAGGGTCTCTCACAAGGTTTTGTGTGTGTTTTATATTGTTTGTTTTCTGAGACAGGGTCTCACTCTGTCACCCTGGGTAGAGTGCCATGGTGTCATAGCTCACAGCAACCTCAAACTCGTGGGCTCAAGCAAATCCTCCTGCCTCAGCCTCCCTCGTAGCTGGGACTACAGGTGCCTGCCACTACAACTGGCTAGTTTTTCTATTTTTAGTAGAGACGGTCTCACTTTTGCTCAGGCTGGTCTCAAACTCCCGAGCCCAAGCAATCCTCCTGCCTCGCCTCCCAGAGCACTGGGATTACAGGTGTGAGCACCACTCCTGGCCCACAAGGTTGTTGTGTTTGCCCAGGTGTCACCTCTCGGGAGGATCTACTTCCATGGTCATGCAGACACTTGGCTGGTGGGAGGAGGCCTGGTTCGTTCTCATACGGGCTCCACAGGGCCTCTTCAGTGTCTTCACAGTACAGCAGCTACCTTCTCTGAGATCAAGTGATTGGGGGAGAGAGAGAGAGTGAGCACAGAGGGAGAAGCCTCCGTTCTCCTCACTTCAGTGTCTGAAGCCTCACGTGGTCACTTCCACCTTATTCTGTCCATCAGAAGCAGCTAAGTCCCACACTCAAGAGGAGGGAATTGAGTCCCACCTCTCAGGAGGAGAAGTGTGAAAGAATTTATAGACAGACTTCAAAACCATCACATGGGGCTAACACTTGCAATGGAAACTTTAGAAAGTATTAAAAAAGTGCACGTAAGGAACAAGTCACCCATAGAGCCACCACATGCAGACACCCACTGCTGACATTTTGGTTGTGTGCTGTGCCTGCCATTTTTTCCTGAGCCAAGTGGTTTTCCAAATGCTTGTGCTTAAACAGTATGTGTAATCTCTGTCCTGCGGTTTACACTTACTGTCACCATATGAGCATTTTTCATACTTGCAACCTTGATAAAAGTCCTTTTTTATCTTACCTTTTAGTTGTTTTTTTTTTTTAATTAGACTTTTGTATTGAGAGAATCTTAGTGGCACACATGTTTGTAAAAATAAGGTGAAGAGAGCCAGGTACACTTTACCCAGTTTTTCCTGGTGATAACATTTTGTAAAATATAATATCAGAACCAGGATCTTAACATAGACAAAATACAGAACAGTTCAATCTCTGCTCTGCCTCTGTCAGCGGGAACCCCCCATGTTACCCTCTCATGGTCACCCTTACATCACCCCTACTCCCACCTCTACCTCCCCAATCCCTAACCACTAGCAACCACTAATCTCCATTTCTATAATTTTAATATTTTAAGAAAGCAGGCTGGGTATAATGGCTCACACTTGTAATCCTAGTACTTTGGGAGGTCAGGGCAGATGAATCCCCTCAGCTTAAGAGTTCAAGACCAGTCTGAGCCTGCCCAGGTTAGTTCTTGGGCCCCTCAGACTGGCCCTGCCAGCTTCATCTTCTCTGCAAAAAACTTTTTTTTTTTTTTTTGAGACAGAGTCTCACTATGTTACCCTCAGTAGAGTGCCGTGGTGTCACAGCTCACAGCAACCTCAAACTCTTGAGCTTTAGCAATTCTCCTGCCTCAGCCTCTCAAGTATCTGGGACTACAGGCGCCTACCACAACGCCTGGCTATTTTTGTTGTTGTTATTGTAGTTGTCGTTGTTATTTAGCTGGCCCAGGCCGGGTTCAAACCCTCCAGCCCTGGTGTATGTGGCCAGCGCCCTAACCACTGAGCATAGGTGCCAAGCCTACAAAAAAACCTTTTTAAATTTCTCAGTCACAGTGCACTCAACAGTAGTCCTAGCTACTCAGGAGGCTGAGGCAGGAGGATCACTTAAGCTTCGGAGTTTAAGGTGGCTGTGAACTGTGCTGATGCCACTGCACTCCAGCCTAGGTGTGACTGAGCGTGAACCCCGTCTATTAAAAACACCACCACAAAGAATGCGTGGAAGTGTATAACTTTGGGGGATTGGCTTTTTTCACGTACATAATTCTCTGGAGATTAAACCAGGTTGTAATTCATTCTTTTCTTTGCAAAGTAGTATCCAAGGTAAGGGTGGACCGGTTTTTTTAGCCGTTCACACACTGGAGGGCATCTGGACTGAGTCTAGATTGTGACTGTTGCAGACAAAGCTGCTGTGAACCTGCATGGGGCTTTGTGTGGACAGAGTCTTGGTTCTCTGGGATAAGTGCCTGGGAATGCAGCTACTGGTCATGTGGTAGTTGCATGTTCAGTTCTGTGAAAATCATTTTTAATGTCAGCTTCTGCATCAAGAGAATAGACCGTAATTTACTTAGTCCTCTGTCATTGAATATAGATCATTTCTAATTAATGGCCAATTTGAAATGATTCCATACTTTGTCCTCCAATTATTATTATTTTTTTTTATTAACTATTCCTCGGAGTGAGTTCCTATGACGGAATAGCTTCATCACGGGGTGGGCAACTTCCAGGGCGTGTAGCTGAACCAGGCTGCCGTGTGCTCAGAATGCAGTGGAGGGGACGGCGGGCAGTACCTATGCCGACTTGTGTGTGGGGGATGTCTAGAGAGCCAGGGGACACAGCGGCGGGGTGGGGGTGGTAGCCCCCAAAGGCTCAGCTGGCCCAGTGGCCACTTCCCTGACGAGCCCTCCATTGTGTCCTCAGTCCTGGATGCCCAAGGCCTGGCACAGAGTTTCTTCAACCTGCTCTGGGAAGTTGCCAGCCAGTGGCAGAAGGAGGTGCCACCTGCCACCAGGACCCTGCAGCGGCAGTGGCTGGTCTCTATCCACGCCATCCGGAACACTCGCCGTAAGATGGAGGACCGGCACGTGGCCCTCCCTGCCTTCAACCAGCTCTTTGGCTTGTCTGTGAGTGTCCCCAGGAGGGCTTGGGAGCCCTGGGTGCCAAGAAGAGCTGCCTGCCAGAGAGACTCTCGTCAGCTGCTGTCAAGAGGGCCTTCCCTGGGGGGTCTGGGAGGCCCTGGTCACCGTCCCAGCACCAAGTCCACTCCAGACTCACAGGAGCCTTCCCTGAGGGGTCTGGGAGGCCCCCCAGTCACCATCCCAGCACCAAGTCCACCCCAGACTCAGAGGAGCCTTCCCTGGGAGGTCTAGGAGGCCCCAGTCACTACCCCAGCACCAAGTCCACCTCAGACTCATAGGAGCCTTCCCGGGGGGTCTGGGAGACCCCAGTCACCACCCCAGACTCATGATTGCAGATCCCTACTCTGCCTCTGGCACGAAGAGCCACCAGGGGCATCTGCCCCCATTTCATGTTTTTGGCAGCTGGGAGCAGGTGGTAAAACTGAGGCTCGCCAGGGTTGTCCTTTTCCAGATCTCCCCAAGTGCAGGAGCCAGGCTGCCCAGTCTGATGACAGAGACTGTGCTGATTCTTCCAGACCCTTCCTCACTCAGCGTCTGGGTCCCATCCCACACAGGAATGCTGGGTGTGAGGTCAGCAGGTCTGTGACTCCCCCTGCCTTCCCTACCAGGACCCTGTGGACCGCGCCTTCTTTGCTGTGTTTGATGGTCATGGAGGGGTGGACGCGGCACGGTATGCCGCTGTCCATGTGCACGCCAACACTGCCCGCCAGCCGGAGCTGCCCACAGACCCGGCAGGAGCCCTCAGAGAAGCCTTCCAACACACTGACCAGATGTTCCTCAGGAAAGCCAAGCGAGAGGTGAGAGCCTGAGAACCAGCAGCCAGGCCTCAGTGTAGTGTGGAGGCCAGCAGAGACCCAGCTTCTGCAAGGGGAAGAAACTGGACTGGGTGTTGGTGCCTGAAAGTCCTCTCTAGACACTGCTGGTGATCACATAACTACATCCTTACAGTTGGGGGGCAGGGGGGCTCACTTCTCATTTGAATGGTTGTAGCACAAAGCCTGCCGTAGTCCAGCATACTGGGCCCTCAGCCACATGGGTTTGCCCCACGACGCAGGGTCTGCAGGCTGCATCAGGGAGGACAGCCTGGTTTTTTTGTTTGTTCGTTTTTTGTTTTTTTCAGACAAAGTCTTATTTTGTCGCCCCTGGTAAAGTGGTGTGCTGTCACAGCTCACAGCAGCCTCAAACTCCTGTTCCTCAAGCAGTTCTCTTGCCTCAGCCTCTCGAGTAGCTGGGACTACAGGCTCCAACACCCAGCTATTTTTTTGTTTTTTAGAGGTGAGGTCTTGCTCTGGCTCAGGCTGGTCTCAAACTCCTGAGCTCAAGCAATCCACCCACCTCAGCCTCCCAGAGTGCTGGGATTATGGGCGTGAGCCACTACACCTGGCCAGGACAGCCTGTTTTAAAATGTTTCCGGGATTTTGTTTTAATCAGGTATGGCAAAGTAACAGACACAGAGCCCAGTGCCTTGAAAGAAGAGTTTATTAATTACAGTTGCCAAGAAGAGAGTGCACGTCATGCCCTGCTGTCACACAGGCCACATAGAGCAGCACCAGGGTCAGGCGGGGAGGAGGGAAAGAGGGAAGCTTGTCTGGTGCCTTCTCTGGACATCCTGGGAGGGCAGTTTCTCCAGGATGACCAAGGCCCCAGGATGTCAAACCGTGATAAAATATAGGAACTGAAATCACGATCATTATACCATCCACTTCTACCTACTCTTCTAGGCAAGGTCTCAGCAGGCCACTGGTGTCTGCTGGGAACTTTCTTTCCTCAGGAGTTATAGCCACATGTAGAGATGAGGTCTTTGTCTCTGAAAGAAGGATGAACGCAAACACAGCAGGCCCTTCCTCTGAACTTGCCTTCTGAACCTACCTGTAGAGTCTCACTAGTTCTCCCTGGCAGCCTCATGGGAGGGATACTAATACTGTACCCATTTTAGACATTGGGAAAAGAGGCTCTAATTGCTTGAGAGACCTGCCCTGGTGGGCAGATGCCAGGGGAAATGTGCACCATTGTGACACGCCCTGAGCGGACCTTAATGTGCATCTTACCTGGAGACCAGGCCATATGGGTAGACATGCCAGGAGCTGGGGAAAGGCTGACACCCCAGGAGGCAACAGGGCTGCCTCTCAAAGTAGGGAAGCATTCTCTGGAGGAGGTGTTTGCTTTAGTGTGTTAATATATTTTGCCATGCATAACACGTACCTGTTGCCTAAATTTTGGGGGTGGAAATAAGGATTCAGATTATGTATGGGTAGTCTGGTGTGGGAGCCTATAGGGCCACCTACTGCGCCCTCCCACCTCAGCCCACTGGGCCACAGGGTTCCAGTTTGGATTATCTGGGATCTGGTGGGAGTGGGCCAGAGTGTCTTCTCCCAAGCACCGCCATCAGGTGAGGGGCAGTGATGGGGCTGGTGAGGTGGGTCTGCACAGAGGGGACCGGGAGCCCCATCCAGGCCCTAAGGACCCATCTGACTGCCCACCGGCAAAGCGGCCTCAGAAGCTTCTGCCCTACCTGCCACATGCACACGTGGCTACTTCAGCCTCAGCCCCCAATGTGGCAAGGAGGGAAGAGCTCCCAGGGGAAAGGTGCAGCCTTCACGGAGCGGACAGTCGCAGCAGGACAGTGAGAGCTGCATGTTTACCAGGGGAGCATTGGTCCTCCACGGCTGTGTCTCCCCGCCCAAGAGCCAGCCTCTTCTCAAGGGGCATTTTCTTGAAACTTTGGGCCAAAAAATGGGTGCACATTATACACGGGAGTGCGTTAGAAATGGCAAAATACGGTATTTACTTTAAACGGCTTTACTGAGGAGACATTGACATATAACAAACTGTATATTTAAAGTATGTAATTTGAATAGGTTTGGGCTTACACAGCGTACAGAATCCCTCACCACAGCAAAGGACATGTTGATCACCCCCAGAACCTTCATGCTGCCCTTGGTCTTCCCTGCCACCCTCCAGACAGCCGCCCCTCTGCTTTCTGACACTGCAGCCAAGTTTGCATTTTCCAGAGTCTGGTTGGAGCAAGATGGTGCAGGACGTGCTCTCCTTTAACACAGCATGGTGCCGACATCCTCCCAGCCAGCCATCAGGCCTCAGTGGCCAGCGCCCTTTTTGCTGAGGTGGTTGTATCTGGACCGCACATGCCTGCAGCCAGGGTGCCTGACCCTCCTCACACTGTGTGGGCCTCTCTCCCCACAGCGGCTGCAGAGCGGCACCACAGGCGTGTGTGTGCTTATCGTGGGAACAACCCTACATGTCGCCTGGCTGGGGGACTCCCAGGTTGTCCTGGTGCAGCAGGGACAGGTGGTGAAGCTGATGGAGCCACACAGACCAGAACGGCAGGTAAGGGGCTCTCTCTCTCTCCCTCCCTCCTCCCTGGGGAGTTCCCAGGCCCCATTGTCCCTGGCCCATGTGGGGAACCCCAGTCTGGGCACCTGGAGAAGTGCTGACCCTAGCACCATCCAGAGGAGGGCTTCCCTGCCTACTCGAGTAGTCAGGGGTCTCAAGTGAGCCCTTCCTGAGAACTGGGTGGGTCCTCTGCCCCAGCATCAGCCTGGGGAGAGGTCAGCCTGACCCAGTGCAGAGTCCATCATACACAGGCAGGGAGCAGCAGACGATGGGTGTGGGTGAAGAGGGTCCCAGGAGGAGGTGACATGGACAGGGCTGGAAAGAGTCGGGCTTGGGGCTACCAAGAGTCAACCACTGGGACTCTGTGGTCACTCGCCTGCCTGGGGCTTGGGGTCCTCACCTGGACACGAGGAGGATGTTTCTACACAGGCCACATCTCACAGAATGTCCAGTCTGCCTGCCTCCTAAGGTCAGTGTTTGGATGTCCAGGAGCACTAAGCCCTGCTTTCCCACTGGGGCTGTTTTCACTTCGCTGTGCCCTTGGGAGGGGCAGTTCCACATCAGCACATAAAACCCCAGGCCTTCTCAGGGCCACACTGCATTCCAGTCATCATCCTGTCCTTGTGGGTGGGTGTTGAGAGCTTTTTAGTCAGTGCTAAAGACAGTGCAGCAGCCCAGGGCTTTGTACATAAGGTTGTTCAGGGTCAAGCATTTCTGAAGGACAAGTGGGATGGCTGGTGGAGAGACAAACAGTTTGGGTGGCTTAGCTGGCGCAGTGCACCAAGGGGGTCCCTTCCCCAGGGTCCCACCGACCCCGGGTTCTGCCCATCTGGGAGGTAAGCAGGCTGTCTCAGAGCAGCTTCTGAGTTTGCTGATTTGTTGCAGAGTGAGTTGAGGCATCTTTTCAAAAGCTTGAGAGCGTTTATGCTGCATTTCCCCTGGGCTCTGTTCTGGCCTTAGCTGCGCGTCCCGCAGACTGCGTCCCCGGCCTTAGCTGCGCGTCCCGCAGACTGCGTCCCCGGCCTTAGCTGCATGTCCCGCGGACTGCGTCCCCGGCCTTAGATGCGCGTCCCGCGGACTGCGTCCCCGGCCTTCTTGCTCTTCTTGCCAATTTGTAGGCACCTTTGTGCAGCAGAGGAGTTGGCTCCTGGTCTGCGGCGATTGGCAGATTTTCCCCCATTTGTTGTTTCTTGTTTGTCTTTGACTACAGGCTTTTGCCGGGTAGAAGCTTTGTTATTTTCTGTGGTTAAGTTGAGCAGCCTTCCCTTGTGGCTTGTAGGTTTGGAGATCACAGCAGAGATAGTTGGGGTAGGAGGGGCAGCCTCCTTGGTCTCTCACACCACGGCTCACAGTCTGGGCCAAGCCTCCTGTGTGTGTGCTCCCCATTGTACAGCGGGGAAAACTGAGGCTCAGAGAGGTTCAGTCACTTGCCTACGCCGCTGCCGCCACCACCGAGGAGGGGTCTGACTGCTGCTCCCTCCCGGGGTCTCCTCTGCCAGGTGTGCCATCCAGTGAAACCTGGCCAAGTTAGGGTGAGGCGCAGACCTCTCAGCTCAGGGCTGGGCCCCTCCCCCTGCTGCCTTCTCTGAAGCCCAGCAGGGACTTTTTTCCCAAATGCTGCCTGAACCCCGCAGTGTGGCACCATGGCAGAGCATAGACAAGGGGCCTGGCTTTCAACTCCATCACACCAGGGGGTCTGGGGTGAGGATTGAGCACTGAGGTCGCTGCCTGTACAGGAGAAACACACACAAGTGTCTGTCTTCTTGGTGGTCCACAGCCCACAGGGGCTGTGCAGGCCAGATGCCAGCTTGTCCCAGCTTCCTCCTGGGTCCTGCCAGCTGCCCCCTCTGGGCTCAGCTCTTCACCCTGTGATCTTCCTAATCACAGCCTGCCACCCATAGAGAAGCACAAATACAGGTGTCACCACATTAGTTAAGGGCAAGAAACCCGTGACAACCTGGTGAGCTTCGGTGAGGGCCCAGCAGCTGCCAAAAGTATCTCCAAGGAATATGCAGGGCCCCATGCTGCTCCAAGCTGGGTTCAGACGGGCAAATGGTTAGCACCTACTCTGCTAGGAAGCTTTGCTGAGGCAGCAAGACAGAGAGGACCTGGCCCCAGAGCCTCACAGTTGGATGGGGGCCGAGGTGGGGAGGGCGAGAATGCAGGGCGTGGGCTGGGTGTCCGAACGATGCTGAAATAGGAGTGGGCCTGAAGCCAGACCCTGAGGGTAGGCGCAGCTCCACAGGCCACGGGTCTACATCTGGGTAGAAAGGGCACGTTGAGCCAGCATCAGTGGGTGAGGGTGGGAGAAGATACTGACCTCCTGCTGGAGGTGCTGGGGCTGCCCTGAGCCAGGAGGAACTCTGCAGGGAATCACTAGAAGCTTCCATGATGATCAGACCACCAGAGTGCAAGTTGAGGCTGCGTCACAGAAGTGTGAATCCAGGGGTGGGGCAGAGTTGTGTGCAAGCCAGCCTGGAGAGGCAGCAGGAGAGATGGAGGAAGGAGTTCTGGCCTTGGGGGTGGAGACATCACAGGACACTGGGCCCCCTAGAAGGTGGTGGTGCTCCCGGCCACTGCTACAGAGGGAAGTGGCCACTCACGGGAACCCACTGGGCTGGTGTTTGGGGAGGAAGTGACCTGGGAGAAGCTATTTCAGGGCAGGGGGAGGACAAGGTGGGAGGAGCAAAGAAGAGCCCCTGAGGGAAGTCAAGGAGACAGGAGGTAGAGGCAGGGGCTCCCTGAGTCCAAGCTGGGCTAAACCAGTATGAGGATGGAGGTGGGAGCCTCGGGAGGGGAGGAAGACACAGTGCAGGACCAGGTTAGAAGGCAGGCTGGTGTCAGGTGGATCTGTTTCCACACCAGCCCTCTGGGACCTGGAGCCAGGCAGCCTGCATGGAGGGGCTGACCTGCCCCACCAGCACAGGGCACTGGGCTCATGGTTGGGGTGGGGACCATGGCTCTGTAGCCCCAGTGTTTTCCCACCCTCTGGCTTAGCCCTGCCCCTACAGCTATCACCAATGGGAGACCAAGGCTTTAGGAAGGAAGGATCCAAGCTCTGGAAAGCCCAAGCCCCTGGCTGCAAGGGGAGACTTCACCCTAAGCGGGGATGTGGCCGATGGGTCTGCTTTCCTTGGTTGCTACACCTCCCTTTGGGCAAGGATGGAAGGGTGTGGGCTGTGTACCCCCTTCAAGGGGCCCCCAGGGAGCAGCTGGCAGTTCATCCTCTGTTACCCGCCCACTCTGCCCACCTCGCAGGCATTGAGGGTTTGGAGTGGGCTGTAGTGTGTGGGAGATAGAAGCGGAGAAAGGCTCACGATTCCAACTGCGTCCTCCCACGATGTGGGCTGGGGTGCCCTTGCACTCACAGCCCCTCCCAAAGGAAGCCTCTGAGGGGCGGGGGCTGCACTCATCTGCAGCACCTCACTGGTCTGCAGGAATCTTTGTGTGTGTGTGTGTGTGTGTGAACACGCATGTGTCTGTCGCCCACCTCTCTCCCCACCTTCTCTCCCAGCCTCTGTTCTGCCCCCTTCTCTCCTCCCTCCTCTCTGGTCCCTTTGACTTTCTTTCTCCCCTGCTCAGGGCATGGGGAGGGGATCTTAGACCCAGAGGAGATGTCCAGACACCTTGGTCCTGCCTCCTCTGGTTTAAGAGCTCCCAGCTCAGCTTGAACAGGTAACAGCTTCTACTTGGCCACCAGCCCTGGGTCCAGTCACTACACAAGCACATATAGCAGATACTCTCTCAGGAAGGCCTGGTCCTTGGTGCTAGTGTCTGGAGGGAGGACTTTGTTCTTCAGGCCCCCAGAAGTGGGTGTGCATCTGTCCTGGGAGGCAACCATACTGACATCCCCGTCTGTCCAGTGGCAGTGTGCCCTGGGACATCAGAGTCTTCACATCAGCTGGTTCCACATCCCGGGGCCCAGGAGGGCAGAAGCTGTTGTTACTCTGAGTGTTCCGTGGGTCAGGAGGTTTACCTGAATGTGACATGGATCAGGGATGTCCTCCCTTCCCAGTAGGCTGTGAGGTGCCTGGCTCCCCTGACTGGCAGGGTGCACTCCCTCAGCCTTGCGCAGCGGGCTTGTGTCTTGGAAACCTCCCCTTCCTGGGACCTGTGGCTGGACTGGGCCTCTGTCCTGTCTGCTGGTAGAAGCTTAGGCCTGGAGCAGCATGGTCCTTCCTCTGTGTAGTGGAGACAGTGCCTGGGGCTGAGCTTGAGCTGAGGAAGACAAGAACTGAGCAGGCACAGTGCTGTCGGGGGCCTTGCTGGGTGGCCGCACGTGTCTGAGCTTCATCTTGTCCCAGCAGCTTTCAGGATAGAGACAGTGTATCCCAGTTACACTTCCCTATATCCCCCAGGGAAGCCGGGGGCCCATCATCTGTGTCTGGGGCTTCTGTCATCCTCGGCAGCCTCTGGTGGTCCATCTGTTAGCCATTCCATATCTGTAATTTCTCACTGTTTTTAATGACTCCCACTTCCCTGGCTTTGTTCAAGTGCTGCGGCTTTGAGTGCCTGCTTAGAAAGCAGCTCGGCCTCTGCTCACACAGACCCCAGTTCTGCTGTCTCCCTGCAGGACGAGAAGGAGCGTATCGAAGCACTGGGTGGCTTTGTGTCTCACATGGACTGCTGGAGAGTCAATGGGACCCTGGCCATCTCCAGAGCCATCGGTGAGGGCCGAGGGGGTGGGCTTGGGCAGGGAGAGGACAGCCTCTGGACCATGCTGCCTAGTCAGTGGGAGTTCAGGATGGCAGTGTGAGGTGCTGAGAAGAATCTGCCCTATGTCGGGGTGACGTGCTCAGCCACAAACACCTGAGAATCTTTCTTTCCGTACGTAATTATAGCTTAGGTCATACTGTGTATTACTTCATTAATGTAGCTCCCACAAAGTCTAGTAGGAAGCCATTCCTAGCTATCCTCTGTGCTAGAAGAAAAGTCTTCAACATTCCTTAAATGAGGTTTAGGTTTGTTGCCTCTACATTCATGCTGCTGGTTCTTTTTTTTCTTTTTGTCTTATGGTAAAAATAAAAATAGCAGCCTCTCCCCACATACACCCTCCAAGACCCAGTTTTCTCAGTATCCAGCTACTGCCAGGTTTCAGCCTGGAGACCTGGTGACCACGTCTGCCTCCCTCCTTGTACAGAAAAATCTCCCTCCCCACCCATGTGCCTGGGACTTGTCATCTGTCCTGACCACCTCCCCCCTCAACTGACTTGTTGTCTTCAGCAAGTGTGGCTCCTTCTTTACAGCCCCTCTTCACACTGCTCCTGTCCCTGGTTCTCTGGGATACACCAGGGTGGCCGGAGGAGGGGGTGGAGAGCTCACCAGCTGCTGTCAGGGGGTCCTGGGCAGTCTGCATAAGAGAGTGACTAACCCCAGGAGAACAGGCTGGTCTATCCCCGTAGGGGCGACCTGGGTGGCTGGGGAAGAATCGGCTGACCCTGCAGTCCTCTGACTGAGGCTCTTCTCTCTGTGCCCAGGGGATGTCTTCCAGAAGCCCTACGTGTCTGGGGAGGCAGATGTGGCATCACGGGAGCTGGCAGGCTCCGAGGACTACCTGCTGCTCGCCTGTGACGGCTTCTTTGATGTTGTCCCTCACCAGGAAATTGTGGGCCTGGTCCAGAGCCACCTGGTGAGGCAGCAGGGCAGTGGCCTTCATGTTGCCGAGGAGCTGGTGACTGAGGCCCGGGAGCGGGGCTCACACGACAACATCACGGTCATGGTGGTCTTCCTCAGAGACCCCCGAGAGCTGATGGAGGGTGGGAACCAAGGGGCAGGGGACTCCCAGGCAGACAGGAGGAGCTGCGACTTGCCCTCTGGCCTCTCAGAGCCTGAGACCCACGCTCCACAGAGAGGCTAGGTGGTCCAGGCCCCTGCCCAGCCCCTCCTCCCACCCTGGCGACTCTCCTCAGAGTCCTCGGGGCGGCAGCCAGCAACGGGCAGGGGTGGCCCCACACAGTGCTTTCCCCAGCACCCAGGAGCTGCTCGAGGTGTTAGCCGCTGCCCACCCTATGGCTATAGAACTGCTAGCAGAAGGAAGCTGAGGGAGACCTCACCAAAGAGAAGGTGGTCTGGGAGCGGCCCGGCTCCTGCTCCTGCTCCTGCTCCTGCTCCTGGTCCCACTGGGCCAGGGGTGGGACCAGAGGCCATAGGCACCTGTGGGAGCCAAATCAAAGACACTGGTGTGTGGAGTGACGCAGTTCATAGGGGTGGAACCTTTGGACAGACCCAGAAGCCATAGGGGTTGGGCCTAGCTGGCAGTGTGTCTGACCCAGCTTTCTCATCCTGGTTGGCCACACTGGCTTCCCCATGGGGAGAGGCAGCCCTGTTGGGAAGAGAGTGGGGAGCCCCAGGGGTCCAATCCACAGGGGCCACCCTCACTCTACGGGCCAGGGTGTCCTCAGGCCACTCTCTTTTCCCTCCAGCACACTGGGAGGAGAAGCTCAGAATGATGTACACTTGTCTTTGGTGCATTTGAGGTTTTTTTCCAGGGAAAAGTCTAATTCAGAAGCAGTGTTTCAGGTTTTATCAGTGCCAAGGTGACCCGTTGTGTCATATAATTTAAGCAGAGCTTAGTGTTTATTTTATTCCTTAGAAAACTTAAGTATTAACTTTTTTTTATAACTATTTTTCGAGGAAACTTTTTTTGCAGTATTATTGAATTTATTTTCAAAATCAGGATTGGAATAGGAACTTTTCCAGGTGGTGTTAATAAGCCATTCAAGTGCCTTAAACAGCTTTTGAAAAGGCTAGAACTCCTATGCCTGTGATAGATTCTGATAGACGTGTTGAAGTTTTTACAAAAGCAGGATTTGTTTTCTTGGGCAAGCATGATTTTGGCTGGAATCTTTGTGGAAGAGTCCTTTCTGCCTCTTGGCAATTTGGAGTGCCCCAGGAGCTTCCCTGAGGGAGTTGCGGCTGCTTTAGGGCAGTGCCTGGGCCTGACCGCAGGGCTCCAGGCAACCAGGGTGACCGTCACCCATCCACCTCCACACCCACCCAATGGCCTGAGCTGGAGCCCAGGCAGTCTCTGGCTAGAGCCTAGGCAGCAGGACCTTGCTGATGTTTGACTGGAACGGCCCCAAATGTCTTGTGTCTTTGTAATCAAACTGGTCTCGTGGGGAATGACAATTAAGAGGCTCTGGCCCAGAGGCAGCCTGTGAGTCTCTGGCTTTGCCTAGAAGCAGTGGGGATGCCACTGGTAGTCTGATGGCACAGGCCACAGCTCCTATCTCGGGCCCCAGGGCTGGCGGCCTCTCCTGCCTTGCTCTGCCCTGTGACCTGAACAGCATGGGAGAGTGCCCCATTCCTGGCACCCCCTGGAGAGCTTGGGCTCCCAGTGACCACAATTGGCTGCTTTGGGGAGCTCACATAGCATCTGCAGAGCCCAGAGTAATAGGGCTGGACGAGGGTGTCAGGCAGAAGACAAGGACATGGGTCAGCAGGCTCAGGAGGGCTGAGTCTCAGCCAGGGCTGCTTCAGGCAGTGGCCAGTGGATCCAGGCAGGGTCATAGGTGGCTCAGCCAGGGCTTCTGGAGGAGGAATAAAAAGGGGGAAGAATCTTGATCCCTGGTTCTCAGCAGGGTTCTCAGCCTTCCAAATGCCACAACCCTTTAATACAGTTAAAAGGGGTCACAAACCACAGGTTGAGAACTGCTGCTGTAGGATGTTCAGAGCCCACCTGCAGACAGTAGGGCCCCAGAAAGGAGTGTCTTAGCCCTGCTCTCAGCTTTACAGAGGCACAGAAGTCCACCCCACTTACAGCACGTCCAGCAGGGGGAGCCAGCCTCTCTGGGGCCTGTCACCTGGACGCCCAGCCTTCCGCTCTTTCCCCTACTGTGAAGGGCTTGAGACTGTGCAGTCAGTGCCGGGCCCAAGGTCTGATAAAAAGCATCTTAAACATAGTTACTGTCATTCAGAGAACGAGCAGTTGGCCACCAGCAAGGACCAGGTATTGCTCAGCTTAACTCAAAGGCCCACTGTCCCCCCGGGGGCCTCAGCGTAGAACTGCCCGTAGGCATGACCTTGGGAGGGAGGGAGCTATGGGTTTCTGTTTTTCTCTTTCCTTTGCTCATCTTATTCTGTCCATGGCTGTCAAGAGTGGAGCTTTGCCCTGCCGGAGGTGTGGGTCACATTTGGTGGTGTGAGTCATACCCTGGCTGGGGGCTCTCCAGGAAGTTGCTCTAAGCTTGTAGAAGCACCTCCTCTGACCTTTGAGCCCCACTACGATGGAGATGGCCAAGCCCCTGCCTGGCAGAGGTCTAACAGCCAGCATCGGGACTGCCCTGTCCTCATCCTCCTACCCCGTGCAGGGGCTGTCCTTGTGCCAGCACTTAAGCACAGAGAAGAGCTCCTCCATCTCGACTGGAGCTGGGCTGAGAGTCAGCTGGCATCTTCAGCCTCTGAGACTCCTGGGTCTTCTCATTTTGTGGCCATGGTCCCATGAGGACCCCTAGCCAGCGACACTGTGCTGGAAATCAATCCCTTTCTCAAGCCCCAGCTTTGCCACTTGCTTGTTGTATGAGCTTAGAAGTCGCTGCACCTCCCCGGCCTTGGTTTCCCCTCTTGTGAGGCACAGGGGTTGTGCTGAACCTGCAGGCGCTGCTCTAGGTGATGCTCCGGAGCTGAAGGCCCTTCCCAGCTGCCTGCAGGGAGGGGAGATTAAGTATTATTAGTTTCTATTTTTAAAATTAAGTGGGTTGGAAAAGAATTGAGCCACAGATGCCAGCGCCTTATATAGAATACAAAAGCCGGAGAGACGAGCCTCGCCTGGCTTTTACAGGTACTGCAGGCAGGTGGGGACAGATAGTACTCTGTACCTATCTAGTCAGAGTCCCAGAGGCAGCCCCAGCTCAGAATAGGAAATGGACTTGTTTTAGGGGGCAAGGGACAGGTGTGACATCAGGGTCCCAGGACCCATAGGAGGACCACAGGCTCTCTGAGGTCCTGGGCCAGCCCCTACCCTTGACTGCAGCCTGTCTCCTGCCCCCTGCAGGCCCTGGCTACCTCAGCAGTGTCCCTGGGCTGGGAGGACAGCCCTGGCCTTTCGTAAGCCCAGCCCTGCCCCAGCTAAACAGAAGCCGGGTGGGCCTGTGCAAAGGAAGCTGTGTGTTTTGCTTGATTCTCCCTCTGTAGCCCCTGGAGTCTGTACTTCTTATCAGGGCATCACAGCCTTGCCAGGCGCACCGTGCTGTCCTTGCCAGGAGTTTGTCTGCACAGCTTGGTGCATCTCCTGGGAGCTGTGTTCTAAGACAGGATGACTGTTTCCCCTGCTCTTAGGAACAAGTCTCAAGATACAGGGTCCAGCAGGGTGTTCTGGGGCCCACTGTGCAGAAGTGCCAATAAACCATGAGTTCTGAGTCTCTATCTGCTAAGTCCTGCTTGCTTTTCTCATGGTCTGGCCCCCTCAGATGTGCAGGGTGTATTTGGAAGCTGCTGACAGGTTGGAGGCTGTCTGCACATCTCCCAAAGGGAGCAGATGAATTCTGCGGAGTTCTGCCAGCCCCTGGTCCCTCGGGTCTAGGCTGGTTTTCATTCCTGAGGCCCTGAGCCCACCCACACTAGGAGCAGGAGGGTGATGGGAACAGGATCAGCCCTCTGGGACCTCAAGAACCTGCAGACACAGGAGCACCTGGAGGCCCCTTACTTCAGCCAGGGGTCTGGACTGCCCCAGCTCCTTCCCTGTAGAGAATGAAGCCCCTGCCAGTATTCATGCCTTCCTGATACTTCTGAGACATACCAGCTACAAAACACGAGGGGTTTTATTTCTCCCCACTCCTGTCACCTGTGCTGCCCCCATACTCAGCCTGCCTGGAACTCATCCCCTCCAAGAAAAATAGAACAAGTAGCCAGGTAAGGTGGGTGCAGGGGGCTGTAGTCCCAGCTTCTTGGAAGGTGGAGACAGGAGGATCATTTGAGCTTGGGAGTGAAAGGCTGCTGTAAGCCATGATCCCACCACTGCGCCCCAGCCTAGGTGACCGAGCAGACTCTCTGTCTCTTAAAAAGTCAAATACTTTTACCAAAACACCCAGGGCTATCAGCCAGCAGCAGAGGTGAGGTGACACTAACACCGCAGTCAGGGTGTACCTCTATAACAGTGTGACCTGGTGAGCAGGCACACTATTGCTAGTGACAGGGCCTGGGCCTATGGCTGCCAGAAGGGACTGGCCTGCAAAGCTGCCTGGACAAGCATGAGGAACCAGCCTCAGGACCATCATCAGTAGAGTTTAAGGGAGGCCCTTGCAGGGTCCACTTCCCTGCCTCACTTTGCACCATACCTGGGACCCCAACTATGATCTCCAGCCCAGACCTATGGAACCTTGCTCACCGCAAGGTCAGCTGGGGTGAATTCAAAGCCTTGGCCCCTGCACTGTGGCTGGTTCTTAGCAGCCAGGACTGGCTGGCTCCCCAGGCCCTGGTGCCGAGCACATGCCCAGCACACCTGAAACTGCCCTTTGAGCCCCACTTTGCGCCTTCTCAAGGCCCCAAGCAGTCTGCACTCTGTCATTTCAAGTCTGGATGACTCTGAGAAGCAGCCAGTCGGGGTTCTCAGCTATCCAGTCTGTTAGTGCTGTAGTCCCCAACCCCAGTGCTGGTCAGCTGGTCTGGAGCCTGTTAGGAACTGGGCCTCATGTAGGAGGTGGGCAGCGGGGAGCAAGCAAAGCCTAATCTGTGTTTACAGCCGCTCCCCAGCGCTGGTGCTGTCACCCGAGCTCTGCCACCTGTCAGCACTGGCTTCTCACAGGAGTGATAACCGCACTGTAAACCACACCTCTGAGGGGGGCACCTCCCTGACTGCACAATGCGTTTGAATCATCCCAAACCCATCCACCCGCTTCCCTCAGTCTGGAAAAATTGTCTTCCATGAAATTTGTGCCTAGTGCCAAAAAGGTTGGGGACCACTGCTTTAGTTGGCATCAACCTGGTGTTTGTCACGTTGTTTCAGGCAGTGGAACTGGAGCTGCCAGCCGGCTACCACATCACCAAGGTGGGACTCGGCTATAACTCACAGGGTTGCAGTGCTCCTGGGCCCAGCTGCCCCTCTGGTCCTGCATGCCTCCAGCTCTTCAAAACTCCCGTTTTGGCGTTTGGTTCCTTTTTCACATCAAGACAGGAGAAAGCAAATGAGCTCTGGCCACAAAGTGAGGCAGAAAGCATTAAAAACACCTCTGCACAGACTGTGGAGCCACAGCCCCCAAACGCAGCCCTGAATGTCTCCCCAAAATGTGGGCGACTTGGGTCAGCTGGCCCAGGACTGCCCAAAGCTGCGTTCTCTCACTCGTCCCTCTGGCTGCTGGCCCCTCTCTCTTCCTACTTTCTCCTAGCCACTTTCAGCCACCCTGAGGGTCCCTCTGCCAGTGCTGGCTGCCTAAGACTATGTGTGCCCTCTGACCCTCCAAGACCGAGTGCCAGGAAGGCAGCGTCATGTGCCAGCCCCCCACAGAAGGGGCACCCTCAGAAAAGCCAGATGCCCAACAGGGATGCCCAGACTGGGGTTCCCTACTGGGCCCCACCCCACCTACTCACCGCTGATTCCCCTTCTTGCCCCAGGCTGTTCTGACTGTTTCTAATGAATCATGTAGGCGTCTGAGTCTCAGCGCCACAGCCAGATAGGGGTGGTTCCCCCTCCCCTCTTCTCCCATTTTTCAGTGAGCTTGGAGCCTGGAGATCACCCACGGGGTGGGATGGGACAGGCCTGAAGGACAGAGGATGCCTCAGGCAGGTTGGGGTTGGAGGTGGTTTACCCATGGATCAAGGCGTCTTGATGGTTGGTGGGTGGGATGGAAGGGACTTGAGCTGGACCATCAGGGGTGGTGAGGAGAGGACAAACCTCTAGCTAAGACCAGCACAGACAGCTGAGGCCATGACTCTGCCTGGGAAAGAAGAGGGGAGCAGAGTTGGGGGCACCACCAGTGGAGGCTTCAGTATAAAGGCAGGCCCCCAGGCCAGGGTTGTCCCAGGGCAGAGCCAGAAAACAGAAGCAGGAATCTGGGCTAAAAGGGTACCTGTCAGGACATCCCAGGGTCCCCACCTCCCCTTCTGGTCCTGCAGGCTCTTCCATTCTTGGCTGGCTCATGTGTCCTGAACCATCCAGGACAGGGCCTCAGCTGGGGCCCTTGGCACACGAAGCTGGGTCTGCTTCCTGGGACTTCAACTGACAGGATTCTGGACATCTGAGCCTCCCAAGGACTAGGTGCCCCTACCTGGGAGCCAGTCCTGAGGATTTGTCCAACCCACACAGAGGGTCCTGGATGGGTGTCAGCTCAGGGAGCAGCACAGGGGCCCATGGTGTCCCTGCAGCACCTCTCGAGGCAAGCCTCTCCTTGGACTATCCCAGCCAGTTATCCTGTCCTTGACCAGGAGACCTCTTCCTCACTCACCCTCCAGGCCCACCTGGCTCAAAGTGCCCACCCCAGGCCCTGCTCCCTGCCTTCCCCGACCTTATCTGCAAAGAGAGACCCGCTTCTAGTAATACGGGTTGTGGGGTCTTGGTGGCCTCTGTCCACACTCTTAAGATTGCCATGGGCAGCTCAGCACAACCTGGTTATTATGAAGCATTGTCTAGACAATCTCTGTTACACGGACATTTCTAGTTGAAATATGAAACAACTATAGAGATTTTAAAGAGTATAAAGAGTGATGAAAATGTCCTCCACCTTTCTTAAATTACCGAAGTCATCTAACAACGTGACAAAACTTGGAAAAGAGAGAAGAAAAACAAGATGTGATTTCAAGCATAGAATGAACTAATCAAGCAAGTGTTGGAAAGTGCAGTTTAAAAACAAACCCCCTTGGCTCGGCACCTATAGCTCAACTGGCTAAGGCGCCAGCCACGTACACCTAAGGTGGCAGGTTCGAATCCCCAGCCCGGACCCGCCAAACAACAATGACGGCTGCAACCAAAAAATAGCCGGGCGTTGTGGGGGGCGCCTGTGGTCCCAGCTACTTGGGAGGCGGAGGCAGGAGACTCGCTTGAGCCCAGGAGTTGGAGGTTGCTGTGAGCTGTAATGCCACGGTACTCTACCCAGGGGGACAGCTTGAGGCTCTGTCTCAAAAAAAAAAAAAAAAACCCTCTTGAAATGGAAGGCACCTTTGTGCTCAGAGAGTCTAAAACAACACAGAGGAGTTGCTGAAGATGAAAAAGATTGAGTGCAGGAGCTATTCCAGAGTCAGAGCTGCGTGCACAGATTTCATTGGCAAAAACTGGCTAGAATTTGGTGCATTTTATGTCCTCCCTAGACGGTAACTTGACCGTTTGCACCATCACGTTCCCCATGAATTAAGAAGCCTCACTTTACCAAGCTGTTTCTCAGGAGCTGCCACTGACGTCCGGGAGGGCTGGGTCCCATGGGGAGCAGTCCCATTTCAGGAGCCCACAAGCCAATGGCTATAGCTCCTTTGGGGCCTCAGGCTCAACCAAGGGGACACACACAGTGCCCAGAGCCCTCCCATGAGTCACTCTATGCCTGCTCCCAACAGTCTTCAAGCCTGGAGGATGCTCCCATTTATTTTAGAGATGAGGTCTTGCTCTGTTGCTCAGGCCAGAGTGCCTGGTACCTGACTGGGTTCTTCTATTTTTAAAAGAAGAAGTGTTGGCCACGCTTGGTAGCTCATACCTGTACTCCCAGCACTTAGGGAGGCTGAGGCAGAATGATCACTTGAGCCCAGGACTTCTAGGTCATGTGATAGTGAGCTATGATGGTGCCACTGTACTCCAGCCTGGGTGATGGAGCAAGACTCCATCTTTAGGCTCGGCACCTGTGGCTCAAGCAGCTAAGGCGCCAGCCACATACACCTGAGCTGGCGGATTCAAATCCAGCCCGGGCCCGCCAAACAATGACAGCTGCAACCAAAAAATAGCCAGGCATTATGGCAGGCACCTGTGGTCCCAGCTACTTGGGAGGTGGAGGCAGGAGAATCCCTTAAGCCCAGGAGTTGGAGGTTGCTGTGAGCTGTGATACCACAGTGCTCTACCCAGGGTGACAGCTTGAGGCTCGGTCTCAAAAAAAAAAGACTCCATCTTAAAAAAAAAAATGAAGTGTTTGACATCAATACCTAGACAATTGACATCATCAATCAACTCTAAAGCCTAACAGTGAGTCAGCCTTGCCAGGTGCCCATAATACCAAAGCTCCTTCAAGAGTTCATCCTGTGGTGTCCCCAACCCTCACACCATCACCTGTATCCTAAACGTTTAGAATCAACTCTCCACAGCATTTCCTTGTAGTGGGAAATGCGTATGTCACTACACACTGCTATTTAGTTTTGCTTGTCTTTCATCTTCCTGAAAATGGCATTTTACTATATGTATTCTTATACTTTGTGTTTTTGTCACCAGCATATGCTTCCCAGATTCATCGGCATGG